ACACACACACACATGTATACACATGCACATAAACAGGTACGCACGCGTCAACCATGGGTCGCCACAATGTGTGTTTTTGCAATTGCATACGTGAGAAAACGCACAAAAACTAACATTCACAAATTTCGAGATCTTAAACACAGATGCGGTGAACTTAAGTGCGTATTACGCCGAAAACAATCACAGGAGTTGAAATAAAAAATGCATAACTCACGGTAGTCATAAAAGTTGGATTAAAAATTTCACGCAGCCCCACAATAAAAAATATTGTCCAACTGATGTCACTTTCCCCTTACATGCAAAAAGGGCAAAAACATTGCCAACTTGAGCACACTGCACAGTTGTAAAGCAATAATCCTTCATACTGTTTAAAGGTCTGAATACTTTAAAATTCGTGCAAAAAAAAATCATTAGCGACGCGTACCAGGCAAGCCCGTGCGATCACGCGTTTTGCAGTATTTCATGCTACTGTAAGATCGTTTGGAGTCCCAGTAGTTAGAATTTATGGCACACTGCTCCTCGGAGTTTAGGAACTTAATCGTGCAACTACATGGTATTTGGTCAGGGAACATTGCTTTAAAATATCAGCCTCACAGCTTTTCGAGTTAGCCGCTTTCCCATCAAAAATTTTCGCGAGGCCGTGCATGAGAACCACGTACACTTGGAGGCTGAATTTGAAGTTTCTAAGTTGTACACGGGCTGGGAATATCGGCTGCATGAACCTGCTTGCTTATCCATACATACACCCACGAACAACATTTGTTTTTGTATTTCGTCGCTGTTGCAAAAACACTTGAAAACTCTATGAATGGGTCCACTGATTTATCTTCAGAAATTTGATTGTTATGTGCACTGGTGTAATAAAACATGAAATTGCAGAAACAAGTAGACCGTTTGCTTTATCCACCATATCGGTATTATTTTGGCTTGGCATCGCTGCCTTTTTCGACGGTAGCATTTGCTTTTACGGCGCTGCTTGCATATCTACTTTATCAGGAAATTCGCGCTCGTCGTGTCAGTCGCAAGTGTTATGTGCTTATTCTCAACCGGGCTGTAGGGGATATTTCATGCTCCTCGTGCTTCATCCTCTGTTCATTTTATCTGCTTTCTGTTGATGCAGAAACATTTGAGTAAGGTGTTTTTAATAACCAAGCTCTTATGCCTAATAGGTTGAAACTTTTTGGGTCTATGTCTATTGCTCAGTGGACAATACAAAAGATAAAAATCAGTAATGCACATCAAGCTTGTTGTTATGTTTATGCGCTTTGTGCTAACCTTGAAGCGGTAGGTTCGTTAACAGTGCAAATGGTTATTGCCGTACAGTCGAACATGCGCTTTCATGTCAGCAGTGTGTTTCGACCTCTTCCTACATGTAGAGAGAAAGGGACGTCTGGTCAAACATGGTGCTCCCCATCTCATTCTCTAGAATTATCTTGGACAGGGCGTAGACGAATTTGCACCCTCAGTTTCATCGCATCCTTACAAAAAACGTTGGCGTTTATAAAAGCTGATTTCGTTTTTAGTGGCGACAAGATAAGCTAGTTCGCAAAATTTCTGCTTTTTTTGTCTGCTAGATTATCAGTAGAAAAGGATGAAGATATCCGAGTAAAATTCAATGATCTTTGACGTAGGGGAAGAGTTTAACATTTTGCGATTCCGTTTACAGGGCACATGCGTAAGCACAAGCAAACTTTACGCTTGTGGGCTCGCACAAGAGCGGCAAAAAATTCCACAAAATTGCACAGTCTGATTGCCCAGTTAAATAAATGCTAATATTCTCCAAAACTGCAAATTTTTCTTAAGCTTAACACGAGATCTAAAAATGTCTTAAAGGTGCGTTTAAAGTTCTTAGGTTTTGTACATTAATAACGAATATCCGCATGACTGCGGCTTCCTAGCTTGTTTCACAGATCCAAAAACGCTCTTTTACCACAAATATCTTCTACTTGTTCTTACATGCGCACAGCTGCAATCCAGAACTTGATTTATGCGTGTGTGCATCCTCTAGGGATGGCAATTATTTTCGCAAGATCACAGCTATCTTTTCCCATTAATTTTCAAGTTGGCAAGGTGCGAGCCAAACTTGAGAATATCTGCGTGTGAGGTAAGCGCGCGATAGCTGACTTAGAATCTTTAGGTTGTGTGTGGATAGAAAACGTTCTCGCAGTGTTTCATCTTTCTGTGCTGACTGGTTATGAAAGTCATTTTCCATCAAAACTTTTTCACATTTTCTTCCGAACATCCGTGCGTAAAACCAAGCATTCGTGGGCTTCTTTTTCAAAGCACATGGAATGGAGAAATGCTTCAAATCAGCATCCTAGCTTTTTCGGAAGCTGAGCTGAAAGCACGTGAAAAAGTTTACTCGTCTCCAGACACACACATATATCGCCTGACAATATTCTTTTTTGCATCTGTACAACCTAAGTTGGAACGCACCAGATTTACTGCGCTATCATGCGTTTTCGTGCTAAACTTGCAGCAGTCAGATCGCTAACAGTAGATATGATTCCAGCGTTGTAGTTTAACACGTAGACTAATGCTGCTTTGGCCTTTTCATAGAGAGGAAAAAGAGCGTCGCTGTGATGGTAATCATAGGACCGCGTGAGCCTCCAGCGTGCATGATTTTCAATTCTGTATGAATGCTGGACGCTTTTCCGGTGGTCTGTCTTTCATCGAAAAATGTAATTTTGAAAATGGATAAGATGCCGAAAGAGAAGGATTACGAAATCCGTAAAATACTTATATGTTTGTGACAAACTCGGGTGTTCCTCACTTCCTCGTGCAAGGAATTTTACCTCCAAACTGAATTAGGACAAAATATGAATATAGAATATCTCTGCAAAGTTTCAGCTGCAGTTTGCCCAACAAGCGAAATCGCCTTGTCGCTACAACTACTTTTAACATGCCCTAAGGCGTTGCCTAAGCCAAATTTAGGAATCCCTTTAGAGGTCTGATTTTCCAGACAGACGATAAATATTTCGACAAAATTTCAGCTGCTACTTTTGGATATTTTTCGAGTTGGCACAGTGCCAGCTGCGAATTTCGACGTGATGGCATGTGCGACGCAACTGTGCGTAATAGCTGGATTTAAATAGCTCATATGTGCACAAAGAATATCCATGCAATGTTTACCTTTCTATCTTGTTTGGTTCCCGAAATCGTTTCCAAATGAAAAAATTTATATATTTTTTCGGGGATTTATGCGCAGATTTAGGCGCATGTGAGCGATGACTTATAGGGCTGAGAACATGTTTCCAAAGTTTCAGTTTCCTAGCTTCTCTG